CGCCAATGCCTGCGCTCCATCCAGCGCATCTCCTTCCCTGGCCTCAAGGTGGTGATGGTGGTGGATGGCAATGGAGAGGAGGACACCTACATGCTGGACATCTTCCAGGAGGTGATGGGCTCGGAGCAGACCAGTTGCTACGTCTGGAGCAGCAACTTCCACGCTCAAGCGCTGGATGAGACGGAGGGGGCCCATCGGAAGGCTGCGCAGCACGTCCAGAGCCTGGTCCGCAGCCACACCCACTCCTGTATCATGCAGAAGTGGGGTGGAAAGCGGGAGGTCATGTACACCGCCTTCCGGGCCCTGGGGGACTCGGTGGACTACGTGCAGGTGGGTGCCAGCATGCAAGGCCTCCCTGTTCTTTCTCTTCCCTGTCCTTCTGCCACCCTGGCACCTAACCATTGAGGAAGAAGCCAGGGCTCTTGTGAATGTGGTTATAAAGCGAAGTCTCCTTGGCCCCATTGGAGCTGGCCAAGGGGCACTTTCCCCATTTCTCAGGTGGAAGGGACTCCTTGCCAGGGACTGCCAGCAGGGGGCGCCCTTCCTGCCCCTATGGGGCTGGGCTCATATCTAGGAAGGGGCATTTCTTTTCCACTCACATGTCCTGCCCCAGGTGAGGCGGATTTGCCAGTCGAACCACGCTCCCTTCTTCTATGGGACAGGCACCATCCATGCCTTTTGCTGCCTCTCCTTGCTGCACTGTCTCCTGGGGGCTTTTCGAGCCTTGCTAAAGGGGAAGAGTTCCTTGGGTGTCAATCTTCTCTTGGGCCATGGTGGCTATTTCTCCTGGGCAGGTGTGTGACTCGGACACCGTTCTGGATCCTGCCTGCACGGTGGAGATGCTCCGGATCCTGGAGGAGGACTCCCATGTTGGTGGTGTTGGTGGAGATGTCCAGGTAGGACAGGAGAGCTCAGGGAGCACAAGGGGGGGCGGGGGGGGTGTTCCCAGGAGAGGAAGCTGCTCTTTCTGCCCAGCCCTGATTTCTGGGTTGTTTTAGAATCTGGCCCTTCCATTTAATCCTGGACATTTTGCAACTCTGCAACAGGTTTATTCATGCTTTACTCTGCCATTGCAAACTAAAGTTGTGGCTTGGTGCTATGAGCAACTCTATCTAATTTCTGTAATAAACAATTATTAAACAAACTAGGAATAAGTGCAAAGTTTGAGTGGTCATCTCATGGAAAACTGAGTTTGGAGAAAGGACGGGGCAGAGCAGGGCAGCCCCAACCCGTCTCCTTCTGTCCTAGATCCTGAACAAGTACGATTCGTGGATCTCCTTCCTAAGCAGCGTGCGGTACTGGATGGCGTTCAATGTGGAGCGGGCCTGCCAGTCCTACTTTGGGTGCGTGCAGTGCATCAGTGGGCCGCTGGGGATGTACCGCAACTCCCTGCTGCAGCAGTTCCTGGAAGAGTGGTACAATCAGACCTTCCTGGGAAGCAAGTGCAGCTTTGGGGACGACCGGCACCTCACCAACCGTGTCCTCAGCCTGGGCTACCACACAAAGTACACGGCGCGCTCCAAGTGCCTGACGGAAACCCCCACTCGCTACCTGCGCTGGCTCAACCAGCAAACCCGCTGGAGCAAGTCCTACTTCCGGGAGTGGCTCTACAACGCGCTCTGGTTCCACAAGCACCACCTCTGGATGACCTACGAGTCGGTGGTGACCGGTTTCTTCCCGTTCTTTCTGATTGCCACCGTCATCCAGCTGTTCTACCGCGGCCGTGTCTGGAATATCCTCCTTTTCCTCCTGACGGTGCAGCTGGTGGGCATCGTCAAGGCCATCTACGCCTGCTTCCTGCGGGGCAATGCAGAGATGATCTTCATGTCCCTCTACTCCTTGCTCTACATGTCCAGCCTCTTGCCAGCCAAGATGTTTGCCATCGCCACCATCAACAAGTCCAGCTGGGGCACCTCTGGCAGGAAGAGGATTGTGGTCAACTTCATGGGTCTCATCCCGGTCTCGGTCTGGGTGGCAGTGCTGCTGGGCGGGCTGGCGTACACAGCCTACCGGCAGGACCTCTTCACAGACACTGAGCTGGTCTTCCTCATCTCAGGGGCCATCTTGTACGCCTGCTATTGGGTGGCCCTGCTCACCCTCTACCTGGCCATCGTGGCCAGGCGCTGCAGCAAGCCGCAGGAGCAGTACAGCCTGGCCTTCGCAGAGGTGTGATGCTGCCGGAAGACAACGGAGGGAGCTGGAGCAAGAAGCTCCATGGAGCAGCCCTTTCCCTGTGTGGCTGAGGCATGGGAAGGGCTGGCCCCACCCTGCTTGAGGCAGCATTTCATGGGGCTCCTCTGAAAGCAGCTGGCAAACTCAGCAAGCCAGAACACTTTGCTGGGGGGTGGGAGGCTCCAGAACCTCCCCAGGGCCTGGCGGAAAGACCCACCTGGACTCCCGCAGCAGCTCACCTGCCCTCCTATGCAAACAAGGCTTTCCCGAGTAGCTCAAGGTGACTTTCTCCTGAGTGGGTGAAGAGGGTGCCTCTCAGAGGCCATACTTTGGGGGAATCACCATCGGGAGACATTGCTGAGTCCTTTTTTTTGGGGGGGGGCTCTACCCAGATCCTCTTTGGCGATTCTGTCTGTAGGGAAAGTGACACGGTGTCTTCCGGTTGTTTAATTGCAGGAATAAAGGGAGGGGCTTGGGGGGGGGTGTGTGAAGGCAAGAAAGCTCCTTTTGGGGAAAGTGCTGCTCACCGGAAAGGGAGCTTTCCCAGCCTCCCAGAATGCAGAAAGGGAGAGGCCTCAGCTGGAGGAGCCGGTTGCCTTAAAGCCACTCCTGGTTTTCCACCAACATTTACATGCTATCAAGCACATGGATGGCGCCTAATTGAAGGAAGTTTAGCTGGGCCAGGGTTGGTTCCTGCCTGCAACCGTGTGGTTGTAATATTGTGGGTACTCCTAGGACGTTCTACCTCTGTCCACGCCTCTCGTCCTCCTCGTAAGTCTTCAGGTTCCCCCACGGTGCTACTTCCAACCGGGAGAACAAGGGGGATGCAGGGGGGGTGGGGCAGCAGTGGTGCTTCACGGGCTCCCATCCTGGTCTCTGCTTAAAGCACTCCGCCCCTTAGTACCCCTTGCCTCCCTCCTCCAGCAAGAAGGGGCTCACGGGGCTTCTAGTTCTGGAGCAGGTGGGAGCTCTTACTGCAAACTGTCATTCCACTGAGAGGGGACATGATGCCTCCCCCTCCCCACTTTGCCAACCCTAACCTGTGGGCACAGGTTTGAATCTGAACCTGTGGACACAGGTTTGCTCAGGCGCTCCCTTGCACAGATCCTGCCTGCCCCCTGCTGGAGTTTAGAGGAAAGGCAGCTTTTCCCAGTTTCAGTCCTGAAGTGAAGAGGATTCCTGAAACTGAGAATTCTTGCATGTTTACACCTTTTTTTGGAAAAGCAAGTTTCTACATTTCGAGCAATATTTTAAACCATCTCAGAAAAATTTGGAGACTTTTCTGGGTTTCCCACCTTGTACATCTGTTGCCAGATTGTGCTCCGCTTTTTACCTCCCCCAACCCCCAGCCTGCCTTCAGAGGTTGTGGGTGCTTGTCACGGGAAGCTTTTAAGAGACCAAACAGCCATTAGGGTCTCCTGCTTGGGTTGGCCTAGAAGACCTCCAAGGTCCCTTCCAACTCTGACAATGTTTTGTTCTAAACTTTTAGCTTATCAGAAATATGGATAAGCTGTAAATAAGGCCTGCACATTTAAAAGAATGCAAGTTAAGTTTCATGTCCTGAGAAAACGTGTTATAATGACAAAATGTTTTGTCATTTTGGTGTTGAATGCACTAATATGACTTTTACTGATCTGCTGCCATTTAGATGTATGGACTGGGTTCTGTGCATCTTCCTTGCTAATGGGATTCCTGATCCCAGCCAATATCCAGACCCCTCAGCCCCCTTCACATGGGGGTGGGGGGCAGGTGCTCCACAGGACTCTTGTGCTTCTGCCCCATTATATGGCTCATCCTCACAACTCTTTCTCAGAGGCAGCTGAGACTGGTGAGCGGGTATCACAGCAGCTCTCATATAGTCTACTACGGGCATTAATTTCTGAACCAAAAAAGTATTTATATACACCCTTCTCCAATTAGGTATATTCCTGCCTTGTAAAGAACATTTTATGTTGAGAAAATCATTCTGTAACCAGCGGTTACTATCCTGTAACTAGATACTTTTCAAAACAGGTTTGATTTGCATATTTTGCTTCTGATATATAATTTGAGGGTTTTGCACGAAACAAGCAAACAGCCTTTTTTTGTGTGTGTGGTTGGCTTGAAATACTGAAGTTGCCAGGCCAGGTCCTTCCTTGGTACAAATCCCAAGAGCCTTTGGGATCTCACGGGGTTTTTCTGTCATTCCACAAAGCAACAGCTCTGCAGCCAAGTTGAGCTTGTCTTTGCCCAGGCCATTCCTTGCTTTGCCAGTGTGCCGACCGGTAATTTTGGGAATGGAAGGGCAGAGGAAGGGCAGTCACTGGTCCCCAAAGGTGGCCAGGGAGTTTCTTCGGATGCTGCCTTTTTGCACAGGCCTCAAGGCCACAGTGGGAGGAAAAGCTAGGCCCAGAGGCTGCTACCCTCTCTCCCCAAGCTGGCTAAGGGCAAAGCATGTTGGGGCGGACCTCTTTTGGCTGGGCTTCCTTCTTCTGGACTGGCTGCCTCTTCTCCTTGCTTCTCCACGCTCCTCCATGGTGGCTCAGTGATTAGAAGGCAGTTCCGCAGGCTAAGTCACTGCCCACTGCCAGAAGTTTGTCCTGACGGTTCAAGGTTGATTTGGCCCAAAGGGGGACCCAGATTGTATGGGGGGAGGGGGGAGGCTGACCCTGTAAACTGCTTGGAGGGCTGTAAAGTGGTATATAAATCTAAGCATTATTGCTATTCTCCAGTCCTGCTGAGCTTCAGCTGCCTCCCTTTTGCAGGCGGATTCTTTTGGGTTCCTGAGGAGTTTCAGAAGTTTTTGTACTTTTGTTAATAACACCAGATGAACACTTAACCGTTATTTGTAAACTTATTTATTTTTACTTACATTTTCATTTTTTTAAAAAACAGGTTTGCATTTTTTATTACATTTGTTATTTGTAACTATAATAAAGCTTTGTAAACGGAGAAGCCCGTTCCGTTCTTTCCCGCTAAGGAAACGGGGGCCCCAACAAGAGCGAGGAAGCTCCGGAGGGAGGCAGGCAGGCAGGGAGGCCGAAGAGCAGCGCGGCGCGGCCCTCAGGCCTTCTTGGGCGCGCTGGGGACGATGGGCTTGGGGCGCGTCTTGAAGAGCAGCTTGGTGCGGACCAGCGCGGCGACCTCGTAGGCGGCGGGGCCGCGGGGATCCTCGGCGGCGGCGGCGGCGGCGGCTCCCCTGCGCAGGACGGCCACGGCCTTCTCCAGCCGCACCGCCTTCCCGTAGAGCACGTGGTGGCCCACGACCAGCACCGGCGCTCCCTGAGGGGCGGAGAGCGGGACGGCCGGGGGGGGTCAGCGGACGACCCCCCCGGGCCCCCTCCCCGCCGACCCCCCCCTCCCCGCGGGCCCCGCGCTGACCTCCTGGGTGAAGTGCAGGTCGCCCAGCAGCCGCCCGGCCAGGCCGCCTCCGCCGCGCGCCTCCAGCTGCCCCTGCAGCTCCAGCAGCAGCCACTCCGCCTCCCCTCCGGCCGCCCTGCAAGACGGAGCCGGTCAGGCCGGGGCGCCGCCCCCCCCCCCGGCCGTCCCCCGCCGTCCCCGGGACTCACCGGCGCACGGCCAGCTGCACCATCGCCCCGCCCACAGCGCCCCGCCCCGCCCCCTCTCCGCGGCTTCCGCTTCCGGGGCAGCGCCGCACGTGGAGCCCGGCCGGCCATGGGCGAGTTCCAGGTGCACCGAGCGCGGCTCTTCGCCTTCGTGCCGTCCGGCGTCCGCTGCCTGGCCGTCCCCGGCGCCCGCCCGTCCCACCGCCGCCTGGCCGCCGCCCGCCTCGACGGCGCCGTGGAGCTCTACGACCTGCAGGCCAACGGCGCCCAGGAGAAGGTAGGCGGGCGGGCGGAGGGAGGGAGGGGGGCGCGGGGGGCGCTGCCCGGCCGGCCCCCCTGACGCGGCCGGTGTCTCCCGCAGGTGATCCCGGGCCACGAGGCGCGCGCCCCGGAGGCGCTGTGCTGGGCGGCGGGCGAGCGGCTCTTCGGCGCCGGGCTCGACGGGGCGGTGCTGGAGTACGACCTGCAGAGGCTGCGCGTGAAGGGCTCGCTCGACGCCTTCGGGGGGCCCCTCTGGAGCATGGCGGCCGACCCCTCCGGCGCCCGGCTGGCGGTGCGTGAGTCGGGGGGCTCTCGGGGCGGGGGAGGCGCGCGGGGGCCCCACGAGGGCCCCGACTGACGCTCGGCTGGTCTCGGCAGGTGGGCTGCGAGGACGGCTCCGTCAAGCTCTTCCGAGTCGGGGCGGATGGAATCCAATTTGAAAGGCAGCTGGACCGGCAGAAAGGTTGGGGGTCGCGGGGCCAGAAGGGGCGGGCGGGGGGCCTTTGGGGGACCCCCTTAGGGGCGGGGTTGGGGGGGGGTGGGCTTTGCTTTCAGTGCAAGGAGCTGAAGGTAGAGAGCTGCCCTTTTTAGTTTCTGCGTTTTTAGTTTCAACCTCTAGGTTGACAGTTAACAGAGTTGAAATAGGCTCTGTGTTGCTTTAATTCTGTAACACTTTGCCTAACGTTGTGGTTAGATTCCGAAAGTCAAAAATCGACCTGTTTCCACCGTGCAGAGCGGGAAGTTGGATTCCGTTTGGGGGTCGGGTAGCAGCATTGCCTGGATGGTTCCAGCCCCTGGGGCTGAAACCCTCCCCCCCTCTCTCACAGAGCGCATCCTCTCTCTATCCTGGCATCCTTCTGGGACCAAGATCGCAGCTGGCTCCATCGACTGCATTTACATCTTTGACCTCGAATCTGGTAAGTTGTGCAGCTGGTCTGGACCAAGAGCAAAAAAACAGCATCTGAGAGGGACCTGCCTGGGCTGCCAAAGGACTCTTTGAGCCACTCTGGCGGTGAGGGCTGGTGCTCCTGATTGCTTCATTACACCCGGCAGAGGCAGTGGCAGTGCCTTAGTCATTGGAGCCTGTTCTGGTCTCGGGGTGCAAAAGGCCCTGGGTTCAATTTCTATAGGTGTTCTAAAAGAAGATGACGGAGTCCGTCAGGGACCCCAGGTAAGCAAAGAGGCTAGTATGGTAGAGGAGTTTTCTGTGGCTTTCTTTGAGCAACGGTTTCTCCCCACCGCACTTGAACACCCCACGTGCACGTTTCTTAGGGCACACCAGCCAGCGGATCCTGGTAGAAAGGCGTCTGCAAGGCCCCTCCAGCCAGAAATGCCTGGTGTGGGGCCTGGCCTTCCTTTCTGATGGCACCGTGGTCAGCGTGGATTCGGCTGGAAAAGTGCAGTTCTGGGATTCGGCGATGGGCACTCTGCTCTCCAAGCACCCCGTCAGCAAAGCTGCGGTGCTTTCTGTGGCCGTGGCTGAGGTGGGTGAGAGTTGCAAGAGGTGGGCAGTTTTGTAAATCCTGTTAAAAAGGATTGGAAGGAGCATTTTTATCAGAGACTTGAATATTTATCCACATTCTTTCCTTATGCAGTTGGCCAAACCAGCTGCCAAAACCCAGATTCCTCAAGCCTCACTGTGTGGAGCTGGCGGGGTCAGCTTCCCACCCAACCAGACTAGCGCTCCCTGTGGGTCGCTCCTTTCTGGGAAGGAATTCATGGGCATTTCGTGTACAAGGAGCAGGAGGAATCCAAGGGCTAGCTGGGGTTGAGCCACCGCCTCCTTCAGCAGGAGGCATCTGACGGGGGGAATAAGAGGGAACAGAGCCTCACGGCATCCGGTTCTCACCCCCTGGTATTGATCGGTTTTCTCCAGGCAGAAGACAGTATGGTGGTTGGCACGTCAGAGGGGACGGTGTATCAGTTCCAACTGCTACCAGTGAAGCTGGGCAGCTCTGAGTGCGAGTGGGTGCGGACCAGACCCTTTCGGCATCACACTCACGATGTGCGGACGGTGGCTCACACCGCCACAGCCTTCATCTCTGGAGGTACAGTAGGGCGCCCAACTTCTAGGTTGTAACTCATCAGAAGATAGGCACGGGTATGCTCCCCCCCTCCCCCCCCGATCCCCAAGGGAGACAGCCAGGTAGGTGAGACCCGTTGCGTTCCTGGCTCTTTCCCCTGGTCCGGTGGCATTTGGGCGGCTGGGAGGACTTTGCCCATTGCACTGAGCCGTGATTTGTTCAAGAAGCCTGCGCATCTTGGCTGAGATAATGATAAGCCAGAGGCCAGAAAGTGCTTTGGGGAAATGCCCTCGCTAGCCAGGTTGCATGAGCCAGGTGCCGTCCTCCTCTGGCAGGGCTGGATGGGCAACTTGTGATCCGACCCCTGATGGAGAAGGTGGACTCCAAGTCCTATGATGCTGCCCTCCGAACAATCACCTTCCCCCACGTGAGTATAGGGGCTGCTCCCTCCGGCTGGGCCGGGCTGCTCCTGAAGAGGACGGAGGGATCCTGCAGTGGTGTGGCCAGCTGTCTCTCTCACTGGTGCTTCAGGTGGCTTTTCTCTTCCCGCAGAGGCGCCTCGTCTCCTGTGCCAGGACAGCCCGGCTCCTCCTCTTCCAGTACCCCCAGCACCTGGAGCTCTGGCGACTTGGCACCACCAACGTCTTCGGTGAGGATGCGCACGGCTTCAACGTGCAGAGGATGGGCAGGGCAATAGCGCAGCCTGCCTTCCCAGCTGCCCTCTTTGGCAGTCGCAGCAGGTCTGCGTTGCCATGTCACCTTGTTTCTTGTTGCAGGAAGGCCTGGTGAGGTCCTGCCAGTGTCCTGCCCCCCCCAGAACCTGCTCCAGCTGAAGGCCAAGGTGAGAAGCCGTGACTTCCTACCCCTGCGACTGGGGCAGATCTGTCCAGCCCCCGCTTGGCATTTCCATCCTTCTCCGCTGAGAGAAAGAAGGGGAACGGGTGCCTTAGAAATGGCCCTTGACAGACCTGTGTGGCACCTTGACTTGGCTGGGTCTGGAGAATCCCACCCGTTGCTGAGTCAGCTGCACTATGATTGGTCCTCTTGCTTCATTGAAGGGCCCCGAGCACATCCGCTCCAGCTGCCTCTCCCCGTGTGGCGGCTGGATTGCCTACTCCACAACTAGCAGGTTCTTCCTGCATCGGGTTCAGCTCGCCGGTGACCACGTTTCCATCAACCGAGTGAGTGAGATCTCCATGGCGTGAAATGTTCTGGGCTCTCTGGAGGGCCCAGCCGGTTGCATCAATCCTGGTTTGCTTTCCCCAAGGTTCGCAAGACCCCCAGGCTGAACGGCTCAGCCCACAGCCTCCTTTTTTCTGGCGACGCCACCAGGCTCTTCCTGGCATCGGATCGGGGCTGCGTGCATGTGCTTTCGCTCTCGCAGTCAGGGATCTGCAGGCATCTATACACGCTTCGTCCAAATTCAGGTAACAGCGGTTTGCTTTAGATTAGGCATATTGAAAATCCTTGCAGGAATCACCAAATGTTTTCTGCAAATGCTCCCAGATTAGAAAGGCAGGCAGCGGTTAGCTGGCCTCTGCAGCTGGAGGACATCTGAAAAACTGCTCCGCGTCTGTGTCTTCCTGCAGAGAGGTTGGAAGCAGTGCATCAGCTGGCAGTGAGTGCGGATGGCAGGTGGTTGTGTGCAGCAGGTGGAGACCGGGAAATCTGCATCTATAACTTGGAAAACACCAAGGTGAGCCCAGCTGCGAACGTGGCAGCCAGAGATCAGAGCTGCTGCTTCCTCCATCTCTTTCCTGGTCTGGTTCTTGCGGCCAGCGGTGGGCACTTGGTTTGCTCTGCCAAAGTCCTCGGGTTGGCTTTGCGGGGCAGAGAATTGGCTCAGCCCCCGATGAGTCCAGGAGCCTCTGATGGAGAAGCCAGTTCTACAAGCGGGGAAGGCCGAGGCAGGCTCACTCTCTTATGCCGCTGCAACTTCCTCCCCCAGCTTCACTGCTCTGTGCCAGCCTACGAGTGCCCAGTGACCGCAATGGCAATCCATCCGCTGACCAATAACCTCATCGTGGCGCATTCGGATCAGCAGGTAAGGGCTGCCCTTCCCTAGATTGGCAAAGCAGAGTTGCCACGCACAAAGGTCTGCCTCCAAGAACTGCCCCAGGCCTGGCCAGTTGAGGACGGTCTTGGCTTTGCACACCCGTCCTTCGTGCAGACTTCGGCTGTAACTGCTGCTCTTGGAGCCAGGAAGGAGGGGGGGGGGTCCCTTGGGGAGTCAGCAGGCCAGTCACCATCATCGATCCTAGTTAGAGACGAACGCCTTGTTCCCGCTGGAATTAGCTGCCGTTATGAGACCTGCCCTGCAAACCGCCTCTTTTGCCAGAGGAAATTCGGTTGCCGTGATTGCAGCACCAGGGAGGGAGGCGGTTTTCGTGCTGGGATGGGAGCGATCTGGCTTCAGAACGGGAGGGGGGTCGGTCACGCCCACCCTGCTGGCTTTCCTGCTTCCAGCTGTTTGAGTTCAGCATCCAGGAGGGAGGCTACACGCCCTGGAGCCGGAAGCTGCAACAGCTGGGCCTGCACAAGGATTGGCTGGAGCGAGACACACCCATCACCCACATTACCTTCCGCCCCGGGCACTCCTCGCATGTCTTGCTGCACGACACGTACATGTTCTGCATCCTGGACATGTCGCTGGTGAGTGGACGGAGGGAGGGATCACAAGTGGCCCACACCACTTGCCCTCCCCCCACCGGCTGGGTCAGGTGGGAAAGCACCGCTTGTGCCCAGTCCTCCTGCCTCCTGGGCTGCTGGTCCCTGTCCAGGCCAGCTGGGTGTGGGGGGCACCTGGCAGTTCAGCCAGGCCGGTCTGGTTAGGGCTCAGCACAAAGGGTGAACCAGGCCACTGAGACCCATCCAGCAAAACCTGCCTTTAGCTCGGACAGTGACAGCCCCTCCTGATGGCTGCATTTGCTCCTCCAGCCACTGCATGAGGATGCTGCGGCCTCAAAGAAGCTGGAGCCACACGTGAAAACGATCCAGCGTGGTCGTGGCCGTGCCTTCAAGGTCTGCAAGAAGTTCCAGGTGGGTCTTGGGGCAATGAGCTCTCTTAAGGCAGGAAGGAAGGCCTTTCATGTGGGGCTGGGCAAGCAGCCCCTGCTGGGCAGGAGTTGGGCCCTTGGATTAACCAAGATCGGTGGGTCCAGTAAGTGTTTGCAAGAAATTGGTTTGCCAAAGAGGCTCCAGGGACAGCAACGGTTTAGGAGTATTTTGGACAGTCTGGGCGAGGGGCGTTATGCCAACTGCTGAAGCCCCAGCTGAGGAGCCCTTGGCCCATTAGTCGAGCAGGAGGGAGGCTGCCCTCCTGTGCCTGAGCCAAGGAGTCACGTCTTATGGAAAAGCCTGAACATAGCAGAGTTTCCTTCAGCAGTAGACCAGGCCGCTGCAAGGGACGGGGCCTGTGTCACACGGAGGTGTTCTGGTAACTCAAGTGGGGAGGGACCCATAATTCCCCTCCCGCCCTGGCCTGAGAGGGGGAAGCAAAGGGCCGCTGCTCTTGGGCAGCTGCAGGCTGGATGGTGAGCTTTTCTTTGGCTTGGCTCCCGTGGGAAGCAGAGAGCTGGTGGCTCCTGGGTTGCTGTGCGTGCGTGTCCCAAGGTGGCACGGTGCTCTGAAATGGGTGCAAGTACCCTTGTGGCTGCCACCCCGGGGAATTCAACACGGTAGCATTCTTGTCCCTACCAGGCTTGCATGGTAAAGGGCCAAGTTAGGTGCCCTTCAGGAAGTCACCTGTGCCAGCAAAGCCCCTACTAACTTGACTGCTTGTTTCTCTCCCCTGCCCCCCCCCCCCCCCCCCCCCCCAAAACAGCCTCTGCTCTTTGTGGATTTCCTGGATGACAACTCTTTGGTGGTGATGGAGCGGCCGCTGATGGACATCAAAGCCCAGTTGCCACCACCCGTCTATCAGAAGAAGTTTGGGACCTAACGTGCTGCCCTGCAGGGACCTCCGAGGATCTTTGCAGAGGCCGTGCTTCATTGAGGGGCTCCCGGTGCCCCTCCCGTCAGAAGCAGGGGGCTGCGTGTCTGGCTGGGAAAGAGAGGCACCCCTCGTAGTAGTTAACCTCTTGTGCCTGGGAGCCAGGACCGCCATGGGCCTCCTCACTCGGGACTTGGTCCAGCCTTGGCTGCTGCTTTTCTCTGAACCTTCCTGGTGAAGAATTGCAAAGAGTTACTTCCTGTTTTCTGCACGGTGTGTCGGGGCTCATCCCTTGGCCAGAAAGGAGCAGCCGCATCGTCTCTGGGAGAAGCCTGTGGCCGGCAGCCAAGGGGCCAGCAGACTTCCTTCAGGGCCGCCCTGGGACCCCTTGGCTCTGCCTGCCCAGGCAGGCAGACCAGGAACCCTGATTTCCGCCCCATCAAACCAGAAGAGCAAAGTCAGCAGCTGCCTTGACCTGCTTTGTTTTGTGTTTCTCCAGGAAGACTTTGTGTGTGTGTGTGTGTCCCTGCATTTGCAGAGGGAGAGAAGGAAGTGAACAGCCTGTTCGCTGCTGCTGTTCAGTGGAGCCTGAAGGTCGTGTGTCCCTCTTGGCCTGCTGGCCAGTGTTAGCAGCCCCTCCCTCCCGGTCTCCTCCCCCTCCCGCAGGCCCATGTTGGGCGGGCAAAGCACAGGGTGGCTCCCGCTTTGGGTAGGAAAGGCTGCTGTGCCCAGTGCAGCCAAAGGAAACTCCCTCTCTGGGGCAGGAAAGGTTTGCTCATGTTTCAATAAAGACCCTTCCAGCAGCTCAAGGCTCGCTTGCGCACTTAATTGAGGGGGGTCCTTTTGGGGGGGTTAACAGCTGGAATCCTGGTATGTTTGCAAAACGTTTCCAAGTTGCTGGTGCGCCTGAGGGGGGGGGGG